GACGCCTGGTGTTTAACATAGGTAATCAGGCGTATGTCCCGCGCCCTCCACTATCTAGAAACAACAACTCCCTGGAGCCCCAGGAGGCTGCACCGGGAGTTCATTTGGATCTTAAATAAATTTGTTACATGGCCATACAAGGACTATAACTGATGTAAGACATTGTGTGGGAACGTAGTACATATGTTATATATAAAAATTACAAACAGCAGTTACATAAAACACATTAATATACACATTAAAGTTAATTAAAAATATGTCATGGAACACATAAAGCACAAATTACACAAAAAAAAAAATAATAATAAACACAAAGAGAGAAAAACAATAAAACATATTATCATATATAAACGGAGACCATTAAAAATTCAATATACATAATGCGCTGTGCATAATGCAATACGGGAAAGCGTTTAAATGATATGTAATAAATTGATATGCATATAGTACGGGTTACTTATGTTAAAGGTTGTGCAGTATGCAAGTACATAGTTTATGCGAAATGCATAGTACAAAAGAGAAAATTAAATACATGCAAAGTACATGGTGTACATAATACAGCTTGCAAGTACATAATATAGATTGCAAGCAGATAATACAGATAAACAACATACATACAGAATACATAGTGCTTTTGCGTAGGACAATACTGTTACATGATATCTGGGATTACTTAAAACTAATTAATATACTATACATGATACATATCTTATGGAGGTGCATCATGCGCAATACAAATAAACTACATACATACAGAATACATAGTGCACTGTGAGTAGGACAATAGTGGTACATAATACTTAGGATTATTTAATACTGATTAATATACCGTACACAGTACTGATTGTTACTGAGATATTACGCTTAATTTGATATGCAGATAGTGACTGACATAGATTATGCACCACAGTACATAATGCAGATTGTTGAACATAATACAGATCTCACATAATACAGATCGCAGATACATTACAGTCGCCTACTCTGTGTGTGATACAGGTACATACTTCATAATACAAATTGCGGGTTATGCGCGTTACATAATACAGATTGTTATAGAATTAATATGCTTAATTTGAAATGCAGATATTGATTGACTTATATGGTATGCATACCGGATCAATTGCATGTACTACAAATTGGTCTGCTTGGGTCGCATAACGTTATAAGGTATTTCTCCCGTCTTCATAGCATGCCTTCGTAGTGTAGTGGTCAGTATACGAGAGGCCCGTGGTTCGAATCCTGGCGAAGGCGTTGCTAATTTTTCATCGCTCCTACTTCCAAATATCTAATGTCTCTACAACGTAATCTTTCACCGAATATGGGATCTAGAAGCCCGAATTTGGAATTTATTTCGTTATTGATTTCATATTTTGTAACACTTTAAGAAATGTTTGATTAACAAACTCACTGATTTCAAAGCGAGCAATGGCAATACTGTACGGGGGGGGACATTTTTATCTCCAGCGCGAGAGACTGTGTATCGGAAATTCTAAAGATATGTTCATTTTAAAATTTTTTGAGCGATAATGCTGTGGAATTGAATTTTATGGTTCAAGTGCGAAGAACATGATAGTTAATAAATAAAGATAACATACAAAACGTTAAAAAAACGCCCGTTTGGGCGTAATGTAAAATCCAAAAGATTTTTTTTATATATAAAGCAGAGTAAAGTTATTCTTAAACAGAAGAAATTAACGTTTATGATGTAGAAACCACTCCAGAGTCATTAAAACGGCTTTCGTGTTAAGCAACATTCAGTTTTTTTAATACTATTATTTTAAAAATATTGTTATTATTATTATTATTATTATGTAATTTCTGCAGTCTTCCATCAAACTAAAAATAGTACTCTATATCACTATATATGCCACACAGTTTCCATTTGTTATCTTTAACATCCCATTGCAAAGAAAATCCTTTAGCACTACCATTGTATGTATCAGTGTTAACCCTCTGAGGCACATTGTGTCCGGTCTGGACATACCTAAACATTTCCTTCTTTACGCTCAGAAAAATTGAATGAAAAGGGATTTATAGGTTACTATAGGTTACTCTGAACCTTCTTTATTTATAGTAGATGGCAGCTCGACACAAACCTGTCCATAAATTTTAGTCATGTTTAGTTTTTTAAGACCCTCATTTTTCAAAGAAATCTTCCAGACTTTTTTTAGGGTATAAAAGGAATTGTTTGAAAAAAAATTTCTATGTTATTTTTTTTGGCTGTATGCTAATCTCCTTATTTGATTTTAGTTTTAAATTTTTACCTTGAAATCTTGCCTAAAATCAAACGGCGAACCCTAGGTGTGCCCAGACCGGGCTCACCGGTAATCTAGGACAACTGAGAGTCTGTATTCTTTGTTTCTCCGCATCTCATCGGTCAGTTCATTAATAACAATGCTCGTTTCAGCACTCTTTTCGAAACTCTATTCAATCAGTGTGCCTACTTTGGGCACACCCACAGAATTAAAACGACAAGTGCTATCTTCACAAAATTTTACTTGTGTACTTCTCTAGGCCTAATTAGACTACCTACCTTTTTTCTTTTCTTTTTTTTTTTTTTTTTTTTTTTTTTTAATCAAAACTCCGACTTTAAAAGGTAGCGTGCAGGAAAGAGTTAAGTAATTAGCGATCTAATTTTCATGGTAGCATCTATAATTTACTACCACAGCTAATTGTCAACTGTTTAATCAATAAACAATTGTTAAAATTGTTCTGTTAGTACAACGAAAGATGGTGGACTAAAAGAATGTGTTGAATACATAATTTTGGAAAGGCCTTTTAATTGAGAAAGATTATCTTTCTCACAGGCCTGCTTATTATTTAAGATCTTATTTCTTCATCTCTAAGATGGTGCAAGGATATGGTTTTGACTGAAAATACCTTTAAAATGTTTCAGTGTTATATTAAACTCTCGATGTCAAACTCGCAAACTGCACAATTCCTTTTCACCATCCACTGAATTTTGTCGCTTCTGAATTAATAAAATAATATCTTGCATGGCATCAAATTCTTTATCAGAGGAAACGTGTTGTTTCTTTGATGCCACGAGAATACTCCGACTTCAAAAATCCTTCAATGCTCATTAATCTATCCGAATACGACTTCCAGTCTAAAATTAGTCTCTTTTTGTAATCATCTTAAACTTTACCCAATTTTGAAAAACTTTGTTCTTACGAAATTTTCTTAATATTTTTACAGTTTTCCTTCCCTTGAAGGTGCAGCTTCTTTAATATCAGTAAATTTTAATTCTGTTTTCCATAATTACACTGGCGATTAATTATTCAATAGGTAAGTGCTTTGTGTGGAACGTTCGCATCAATCGAACAATACTCAGAGACCAGTACTCAGTGCTAGAGTATTTGGAACCCTTATGCAAAGAATTATTTTTTGCCATGAAAAATTAAAATTTGACTAGCTGAAAATAATAAAATAACTTTAATAAATCATTTGCAATTAGGTTCTTAATAAACAGTTTTACATACAGTCAGATTATCGTGCTTTTACTTTTGAAAAGTCAGGAACAAGTTCTAGCACCTTTCTTTTGTTTACAATGTCAATTGATCGTTTTTACACATCGTTAATTGCAAATATTTTATTATCATTATTATTATTAATTTTAAAAAAATACGGTCACCAATAATCACATGTACAGAAATAATAACCATATTCTGTAAACAATTTGTCGGATAAGTGAAAATTAATTTAAAAATTTCTTGGGTATTTTGAAACTGATGTTAATTCTAATTCAGAAAATAAGTGCCACCTAACCCGGATAGTGGTTAGTGAATCTGACTGCCGTACCGAAGGGTCCGGGTTTGAATCCGGGAGAAGGTATGGTTGTTTGTAAATGTATAGCGTCTGTGCACCATCGGGGCACTCTAAATATTCGCCGAGCTGAAAGTCCTACACAGATGTTGGGGAAGGGAAAGAGAGGGATGGGACTACACTACGAATGTGTAGAGGGGGACTACACTACCCATATTAGGTGAAAGATTACGTTGTAGAGACATTAGGTATTTGGAAGTAGGAGCAATGAAAAATGAGCAACGCCTTCGTCAGGATTCGAACCACGGGCCTCACGAATACGCGCCGAGCGTGCTGACCACTACACTACGAAAGCATGCTAAGAAGGCGGGAGAAATATCTTATATACTCCCCCTTTTAAAGGACGACTGGAGTTTTGTGGGACCCAGTCGTCAAATCCTGGTCGTGAATCGGAACTGTACCCCCGGAATGCTCTTTAGTAAATAAGTTTTTAATAATAATACTGCAATTGTGATGTATGGGTGACGTCAACTAAGGAGATGTGTATTTGCGATTTAAAGTTAGCGTCTTCTAGACGCTAACTTTCAATCTGACAGTTGCCAAAAGTTTAGTTTTCTAGAAAGAAAACCTACAGAGAGGTCGGAAAAGGGAAAGGCTTAAGAGAACCGTTAATGAAAGCGAAATTACATAGTATTAATTAATGTACTACATATTTCAGTTATTCCTCGTATTAATGTAGCTTTAGTTAGCTATTGTGTAGTTTTGTATGTGTAATAAACATTTAAAAGTATGAAGAAGCTTGGATAATTTCTTTGAGGCAGCGAGAAGACGTAATGACATTCTATCATATGAATATGTATCATTCTTATCTTCAGTGATTCTGTAAGTTCAGTATCATTATTAATTCTTCACGATTATCCTGTAACAAATACCAACACTGAGTATGCTATTACTTTTCATTAAACAATGCTGGTTTTATAAATGCATTATTACTAAATTCGTTTAAAAAAATCGACTTGTATTAAAAACTGGATTACGAAGAAGCTCTAGGAAAGGAGAGAAAGTAATAAAAAGCAAGCCGTTTTCTAGAAGAGAAGTAAATAAAAACGCATCTGTGAAAGCAATGAAATCAAAATCCTGTTCCTTCACAAGGACAGATATGACGTATACCGCATTGCTGACCAATAGGAGAAAATCTCTCTCTTTGCCGGTGTCGCTCCAAGCGAAGAAAACGCGTTTCGATTTTAGTATTGACTGTTTACGTGTGTTGGTAAAGAAGCATGTTGATATCTGGGATTCTTTAAGAAATTAAAGCAATCTTGTGCTTTTGTGTTTTATCAGGATTCATTTAAAGGTAATTGTACATTTTTTATTACTATTATTCTGTGTTGTGTTACTTGTTACAATGCTCGAACGTGCTTTTGTAATGTAAATTATAAATGGACGAGTAATTTTCGTAAAACCAATTTTGTATACCGTTTATAAAGCTTGCAGTAGCTACTGAAACCATTATTCGATGCATTAGATTTGAATAATATGAGTAAATATACACATTTCGTAAGGGAATACTATAAATATTCGCTCTCCATTATCGGGAATGAATCTACGCGCAATTTGTTTTTTCTTCTGAATATCCAAAGAACTACCGTATATAACGCGCACTGGTGTATAACGCGTACGTATAATTTCAAACTACGTTTATTAATTTTTAGGTATATGCATTGTATAACACGCACCCTTTCCTATACGAAGAAACCTGAAAGATATATGTGCGATGCACTTATCTTTTGAAGCCTTTTATTCGAAAATGTTTCTCACGCGTTCGAACAATGGTTTGCTGAATTGAACAGCGATAATGGGAACAATACATCGTGTGGTGGGAAAATGTTTGAGACAGTAAATGATTCTGTAAAGACGATAGATTGTATTCAATGCAGGTGTGCACAAGAATGTTATCCTAGAGTTTTAAGGAAAAAACGCAGAATTTGGAGTAAGAATGCCCTTCCGACCCGAATGGTTTCGCGGAATCAAGAGCCAGATGTTTTCTCTTTCTGTAGTCATTTGAAGTCGTGATTTTTTAGTGAACATCGAACGCTTTAGTAAATCGAATTTTCTTCAGTAGAAACACAGTTGATCTTGTGCTTTTTTTAAGGGGACTCATACACCTTAAAAACCATAAGATCTTCGAATATGTGACTGTTGCAAGAATTGGGATAACTTACTAATTTTAAAAGCAATTACTTCCAACCTTTTACAGTTGACTACATAATATAGCTGCTTTTTGAAAGAGTAATCAGAAAGTTTGTGTTGCCACAAAGATTTTTATAATTTAATCCTTTTTGTGACAAAATGTTTCGTCATGTTTCCACCTTGCGCGCAGAGTTTAAAACATTATGTTTCGTAATTTAATTCCATATTTAATATATAGCTTTCATAACATTTGTAAACTACTGTGAACCAAACATTCTAAGAATTTCATGTTAAATTTTTATTTTATTTGGAGTTGAGTTTATAAAATGTATTTTATTAAAACGTCTGTAATGTTTTCGTCCATAAAATTTTTTAATATTAAAATATTCGTCAGATTTTAGGTTCAGTTAGAGAATACTACGTGACGAAAACTTTTGTCACAAAGCGGATTAAATTACAAAAATATTTGTGGCAACACACACTTTCTGGTTACTAGTTTCCAAAGCAGCTATGTTCTGTAGTCAGCTGTAAAAAGTTGGAAGTAATTGTTTTTTAAATATATATAATATCTCAATTCTTGCAACAGTCACATATTCGAAGATCATAAGGGGTTTAAGGTGTATGAGCCCCCTTAATAGTAAATATGGCTCCTGCCAAACAAAACAACACAGTGTTGGTTTCAAATGCCCGATAATTAGTGAAGTCATTCACTGAATGACAAATGACATATGGAACGGGTGGTGATGATTTATTTGTGAACTAGAATAACAATGATGATGAAGATGATGAAACTGAACTCTGTGATGTGCCTGAAGATATAACAGTAGACAAACATGACGAATTTTTCATGCTATCCGATAAGGAAAATTTTTTAATTCAAAAGGTGTGTCATTTCTTTTAAATAAACAGCATTTAGGTATATGTAAAACTAATTTTTCTACGCTGAATTTTCCTTATTTTTAATCATCTTTTTTTATATCCGCTGTATTATGCGCACTTGTAAATTTCGATCTTATTTTTTGTAGTAAACGTGCGCGTTATACTGGGGAATACACGGTAATATGAATTCTGTGCTTAATTTTAAAAAGAGAATGTCCGTAAATGTTATCAGTTTTCCCAAAATAGTAGGAGACGTTGCTGGCATATTCCATCGTATTTCTTGTTTACTTATAGCGTTCAATCATTCATAAGGTTATTTCCGTGAAGGGCAAATGAAGTGTCGCGTACATACAACTATGGGCTGTTGATTGTATTTTTCCTAGTAGTAGATGTACAAAAATTTTTAAATGCATTTAATGCCTGTCACTAAAGAATCACTCCGAACATATATATTACAATATCAAAGAAAGTCACATATAACAAAACCACAGCCACACCTTAAATTGATAGCAATAACATAATTATATTCTGAAAATTCTCGCTAAAATAGAGCATGATAAATAATACTGCGCCTGAATTTAAAAAGATTTTTTTTCCTTAACAGATCATCAAGATTGCTAAAATCATTTGTTTATGTACAGCCTGATAACTTTTCGTACAGGGCCGTTTTCTAAATATTTTAATGAACTGTGCTGTAATTATATTTCGTCCAACAGCATTCTTTCTTAGTAAAAGTTGAAAAATAAAATTTTAAAAAGTAAAATCTGAAAGCCTTCAGACTATATATAACTCCTAAAAGGACGTTTTTCTATCGTTTTTGTGCGTTATCTTTATTTATTAATATTATATTCTTCGCACTTAAACCACATAAAATTCAATTCAACAGCAATATCACAAAATATTTATAAACAGCAAAACAGCATATCTGTAGAATTTCCAATACACCTCGCGCACTAGAGATAACAATGTTTTTTCCGTACAGTGTTGCCACTTCTCGCTTTGAAATCGTTACGTTTGTTAATCAGAAATTTGTTAAAGTTTCACGGAATTTTCAATAGATAATAAAAGAAATTCGAAATCCATAATTCGGGCTCCAGATGCCCCAGGTTGGAGTTGTACCCTATTCTGAACATGATGGCTCTAAGTACCGTTGTTTTTTCACAATGCGAGAAACATTCATGCATTCATGTAAATTCTTCATTATTTAGTTTCTTTAAGTATAATACACGACGATAATATTTAGTGGCAACAGTTTTAAAAGTGAACCAAGGCAGAAAATGCCGTTTTGAGATTAATAGCATTTTGGGTCTAGGGCCCTTTTTGAGTCTAGCACCCTAATAAAATGTAGTAAGCACACAGAAACGTATGTTAATTGAAAATCGATACTAACGTAGAATCAGTGGCGTAGCCAGAGCTTTGACCTCCCAGGGTGCTCTCTTCGCCGCTTCTCTCAATGCACTTTTAAAAATTAAAAATATCAAAACGACAGGTAGAGAAATTAAAAAATTTGAAATAAAACTTTAATTCCGACGTTCCAAAATGCAATTTTGCTTGTTTTCAATTACCAAACTTGTTGACGACATTTTAGAAGTTTTTTTTTTTTTTTTTTTTTTTTCCATTCCTACAATTCCTTTTCCGTGGAACAGTAGAGTAAGATTTCTTAAATGCAAGGGACGCATATTCAGTTCTTAAGAGCTACTTAACCGGTTTGTTTTCAGCAAAATTCCTCTCACAGAAAGCAATATTTACTGCTGTTACGTGAAAAATTAGTAGTATATTACAGTATTTAGGGATGCTTTTCTGAAAACTGTATTTTAGAATAAACTGAAAAACTTCAAAGCGACCCAATTTTCTTCCATTTGTTTGTTTATCTTTCTAAGCAGTGACAAAAATACAATTCTGAAACACATTTTTCTCAGTGCACTCTAATCTACTTTTCCTTATTTATGTCATTCTGTTCATAATTTAATTCACATTCGTATTTTTCATTTAAAATTTCGATGGAATAAGGAAGTAATAGTTACAAAATAAAGCAGTCGAAATTTCTTTGAATACTGTGACAGGTACAGTGGGCTGACTCGTACTGTGCCAAAATAAATAACAGTAACAAAATAAACAAACAAAGTAAATAACAATAAATAACAAGAACAAAATAAATAAACAAAGTAAATAACAATAAATAACAGGAACAAAATAAATAAACAAAGTAAATAACAGTAACAAAATAAATAACAAATAGTAACAAAATAAAGCATCGAAATTTCTTTGCATATACTGTAACAGGTACAGTGGATTGACTCGTACTGTAACAGCGGACAGGACACTAAAACTTCACCATGGGTCGCACAGCTATTGTCCCACCGTGCTATCTGTACAGTCCTGCCCATGGAGGTAGGAAGTAAGATGGAGTGGCCCTAAACAGGTTTCTCTCGTACCCTGCTCTGAAGCACCGGCGATCCCTACGTGGTGACCAAAACATTGGGTCATTTACCATTAAGTTCAATGGGTTTTGACGCGATCGGATGTAAATATTTTTGTAAATACGTCGTAAATATACATATAAATGTATATATCTTCTTTTTCTATAACACTTCAGAGTCCTAAGTATATGAAAACAACATATTTTTAAACAACATTTCATTCTGAACGGAATTAAATGCTATACTTTTCACAGAACAGTTTTCTCAGAATGGTTTAATTTTATTTTTAATTAACCCAAATAAGTAAAACGTGTAAGCCCAAAGTGAATATTTTTCAGATATATAAAATTAAAACGATGAGTTTAAAATGAGCAACAGTAAAGCCTCTCCTCTAAAAAATTTTAAAAGGTACATGTTACAATAATATATGGATGTGAAAAAGATTTATTTTATTTAAAACATTTTGGCATTTGGAACATAAAATAAAAGTAGCGAATACTCTATCAAGGGTATCGAAAGGTACCGTATACAATTTTAAAGGTACCGTAAGGTATTTTTCATTCTTTAAGCATAACATTTTTGTTAAGATCTATATTTTTGTAGTTCAACAGCTTAGAATTTTATAAAACAAATTCATAATCAAAATCGCTGTTGTTAGTTATCGAAAAATAATCAAGATGTGATTTTTGCGTAAATGTCACTAAACTATACAAATCCATCACACTATGAATGTTTCTTTCATGCGAAAGTGTCCCTTTTTCGATTTGTATGGAACTGTCGTATGTCGAAATACTATCAGAACACTGTCAAGCGAGCTTCTGAATGTAAACAAAGAACACCCCATCTGGTGACCGAAACTTTGAAG